CCAGCATTTCTAACCGCCACAGCCGTGCGTAAAGACACAATCAGTCGCTCTTTTTCTGCCGTTCTTCTCCCAGACAGGTCTGATGAGTGGTGGAGCGGGCACAGGTAATAGGGGTGTAAGACAATATAAAAAAATATCCTATCGTGATATTTTGTATGGTGATATTGTATCGATTCTCAGAAGACACTGGATCGATTTTTGGATTTAAACCCCCAAACCATTATATTGCTTTATATATGTGATTAAAGTAATGCCCATGCATATTTCTGTCTTTGTGCGCACCAAGGTAATTATAGTTAACTAAAACTAAACTAAACACTAAAGCTAGATATGAAAACTGATTTTAGTAAAAATAAAATACTGAAATATTTAAATTTAAATATATAAAAATTTTAAGTAATACTGAAACAATATTATTTACTTTAAACTAACTAAAATTAACTAAAAATATACAGGGAATGCGTGTTGTTTTAATCATTTTAATTTTAGTCTTTCAATTTGGTCAAATATGTCAACACAGCAAGCAAAAGGAGGCACTGGTGCATACGTTTATTGAGACTGTCAGTCGACGTGTTTGTATTGTAATACCTATTCTAAACTATATAAAATAAATAAATACAACTAAAATGAACACTGAATTGTAGAACTAACAACAACTCTGCTGCTTACACTCAGCTTTAGTTGTGAATCTACACACAGTTTTAAGCATCTGGGCCCTGGGTGTGTGTGTGTAGTACTATCTGGTGTTACATTCTTCAAACAACAACAAATATGACAGAACAACAGTGGATAGTAGAGCATAGTAAAAAAGTATTTTGGTAGTTACACCAAACAAAACAATATCCTGTCCTAAATCAAGCTAAAGCTAATGATTCTACAGTATGGGAGCAAAGCCTTGGAGACAGCTTTGTTCAAACCTTCATTATATCTGTGCAATAAACCATAGATAAATGTATACCGTTGACCCTCTGCTTTCCAGTGGTTCAGCAAAACATTTTGTGATTCCTATTAATAAAAAAAGGCAGCCAGGACAGTCTAAAAATAATGTAAAACAAACATGCATCTTTTATACATCCTGTACACAACTGAGAGGACATGGCTTTTGCGTTAACATACACAGACAGATATTTCACATCACCTAGTTCATTCCTCTCCAGGGGCGCTTTTGATACTGTAGTTAGTAACAGTAGCCTTGAGCAAACATTATCTATTGCAGAATGTTTTACACAGACTGATTAATTGATTGAAACTGGCCACTCATGTAAAATTAAGTCAAAAATCAATTTCAGCTCTAATTTGAACTGGACGGGGAACAACAGCGTTGTAGGGCGACTTTTCTGTAAGTGGCAGTGAAATGTGAAACAGCAAGGTCAACTGTAGCCTCATTATATTGTGGCAAAGACTGCACGGTACACGGACTGTATTCAAACTGTGCTTTTCAAGCCGAGTAGGCTTCACAAAGCCTCTCAATCACCCACACATCCACACACATCACTGTCGCTTCAGACTTGGATAAAAGAACAATAAAAAATGAAAGTGTGATCAAAGCACAATGACTTTTTGTTTATCTATTTAGTCTTTGTCCCACTCCGCTGCAGGAATATCGGGGTACGAGACTGCTGGATGCACGGCGACGAGAGCACGAGGCAAACAACAGTTTCACCACATCTCGTGAAGCCCCTGAACACTTATTTAGATGTCCACGCCTGGTCCATACCTCCAAGGCCTGTACGTCATACGCTGCAAATATGGACGATTAGCATAGGGAAATACACACATACTTACATACCTCTAAAGAGGAAATCCCACAATTCTCTTCGTCTGTAGAGTGACCAACCAAAGCTGACTCGTGTTTTCGCCTATGCTCTACCACTGTCCCTGTCCCTCTACCAACAGCTGCCAGCTACCAGCGTATGACTCGAGTGTCCTCAAGCAAGAACGGCAACATATCTTCCCACAACGACTGGGACCGACAGCAGTTTACTGCTGGCTGCCGGCACCTGTCATTCCCATTCCATTTACCTTCCAGCACATTTTAAACTCTTCTTCTAAACTGATTACGTGTCATAAGCAACCCCTTTCTTTTTTTCAGTGAACACTACGCAACTCGTGTATTGCTTCCTCTTAAGGCTAAGGGCAGTGAGGATAACTTTCCTCACATTTGGTGAAAACAGAGACAGGAAGGTGGAGAGACTGCTGAGTGTCACACACAGGACTGACCGGTTGACGCAACGGCATGTAATACTAGCTGCTGTTTGCTTAAATCAATAACCAAGTGAGGGAGAAGAAAACAGGATGCCTGCTGTGTTTCAGGAAAAGTACACAGGACAAAGGATGAATGGTAGTAAGCAGAAAGTGGCACGCACAAGGAAGTCATGACGGGCCCCCTTTATGAGAAAATGTTAATTGGAGAACCATGCATCCCTGCAGATAGGCTGTTTGTTTCCATCCACACTGCTGCTCGTGGATGTGTTCATGACACCTTGTATTAACAATTCTTGAACTAAAGGAAGACAACCTCACTACACTTTGTCCTACCAACTGCGCGATAAGACTCGACTGACATTTGTTCTCGCAGCACTAATTTCATTTCATCCAGCCTATGCACACAAATATTTTGCTTGCAAACAATTACTGGCCCGTCTAGCAGGTGCTCCTCTCGCCAAAGGAGCGATTTGCCCAAATTTGGGGCTTGGCAGGTGTTCGTTTGCTCCACAAACACCAGACTTCCTGACAGTGTGACAATCGTTAAAACACCAAACTAGCTGCTGTAGACGGTGAAAAGTTGCGCAAACTGTCAAACAAGACATGCCCTTTCTCTGAAGGTTGAATATCAGTTTTAAAGGTCGTGTTTAGGCCATGAATCAGGGATTGCATGAAGGCCTGTATTTGCTGAAGGGGAGCATGAGTAGTAACAGTGTAAAAGGATGTTTATCCAGCAGCTTATCACCGTAACAACTGACACCGAGCCCCTCTGTTTATCATCAAATGTGTGTCCTCATCAGCGCCCATCGGCCCACAGATCCAGGGTCTTTTTATAGTGCCTTTTTATAGTGCCTTATCCCCATGATATAGCAAGGCTGTATTCATCCAGACTCAAACGACGTCGTCAGGGAAGGGAACATATGGATCAATGACAAAAGCTGCTGTGTCCACATGGGGCTGTGTGAAGGTGATGGCTACCATTTTTGTTGCCTCCAGTTATGCGTTACAGGAGAATAAAAAGGAGAGCACGGTTCCCTTTTTCTCTGACAACCAGCAACAACCTATTAACGTTAGCAGCAGCTCGTCTCCTGCTGCTGCTGCTGCTGCATGCAATGGGTCCACTAAACACAGACCAGTGCAGCATCTCAGCTGCAATGATGCTTTCCAGTGATGGGAGAATGCTGGCAGAGCTGAGTAAACTTTGTGCTCTCTCTCACACACACACAACAACAACAGTCACACAGTCAGTCTGGCACAGTACGTCGGTGCCTGGCCTAAGCGGTTTTCTCCTCTTTAAACTTGTCACCTCAGCAAGTGGAGCCGTACTGCAGCAGCTCTGTCGAATACACAGAAAGGGCGACTGTAGCCGGCCCTTCAACTTAGTTTTGATCAGTATTTGCTAACAGTGTTCTGTTTGAGCTGACTACTGCAACTGGATTTTGCAAAACCTCAATTACTCCCCTTTAACTCAGCAAATCAGCAACATCGCTCTTCCCACACAGTTGCGAATAGATTCGATCATTCCACATAATTTCTTTAAGCAAAAACAAGTGTTTGTCAGCAAAATGCTTCTCCCGCATTGCCTTTCCGCACAATAATCCAACTACGCCACATTGTTTAAAAGGGAAATGTGAGTCTTTGTCACTTAGGCCAAATCTCACACCGCAACACTAACTTGGAGGGAGGCTCCCTTTGGGAATGGGGTACCTTCAAGACAGAAACACCACTTTCAAACAGTCTTTCTTCAGGTGCACTGGTGACACTAACAAACACACACACACACACACACACGAACAACAGTGCAGTGCTACATTACAGCTTGTAGCTTGTGTCTCCACAGGTCAGATGCAGTATACCGGCCCTTTAACTGATTGCAGATATATCAGCGTCAGCCAAGTAAGACGCAATTTCGCTGCAGATTGGGCTGTACAGCGAGAGCCAATGAGAACTTATCAAAACGCCGGTTCAGCAGGCCTAAAGTCACCGACTTCCTCAGCCACAGACTGTTTATCAGGTGGAAGAAGCATCACTGTGTAATACCACTGTATCACAGAGAGAGGGGTCTTCTCTAGTCGCGTTACGTCAGTTTCTCGCAGTTAATTTCATCGATATCATATAATTAAATGATCTGAAATAATATGTATCTATTATGCATGTATATTTATTTAATTATGCATACTGAGAATCTTTAAAATTTCTTTAATTATTATTATTATTAAGTTCTGTCTTATCTCATAAATTACGCAGTCGCTGTCTTCTAAATCTAAACTTTAAGCTGTAGGGATTTCAAAAGTTGAACGCTAAACATACATAGGTTCACTAGGAGGTTTGAAAGGGTTCTTACTCCAACTCCAACCCTAACTTCAAAGTCAAGATTCGAAGTCAATAGCGTCATCAGATTTCAAATATTGATATTAGGATTCAGTATCGGTCAGGCAGGCTACACTTCTGACTGCAGCTGTCACAGAACTTCTGCTTGGTCTCCATCTGTCTCGGCACTGCAGCGTGTTCTGAGTGCACAAAGCAATACATTGTTGGACTGACAGATTAAGGATTATCTGCTGATAGATGACGGTTGCGAAGATTTGATTTGCATAAAAATGTGCCTTCGGAGCAAACTAGAAGTTGAATGTAGAAGATGGGACGAAATACTAACGTAAAGATTTCTCCTTTTTTGTGTTTATACAGATATTAACGATAAATAACCCAATGAAATCTATGAATCCTGAATTATCCACAAACAGTAAGGAGTATGAGGAGCAGTGCCACCTCGACACGCAACTCAAACTGTTTTTTCAGCGGGACAAGGGGGCCACATTGAGACAACCGGAGGCTCCATCTGTGCAAAAATAGGTGAGAAACAGAATCACACAGAAATGTAATTCTGGATACTTTCCTCACATGACACAGGGATGCCATACAGCCAGCGCATTCACAGGTTAGGATGCAGTGTGGGGAAACTTCACCCTCTATGATATGAATTACAGAAATACCATACACCAGCTTTAAGTTAGAAGTGACAGGCGAAGCCAAATAAAACGTCACTGACTTTTGCATGATAATAAAGCAGCTGTTACACTTTTATGCACGAATTGCTTCCTAAAGAGCCTTTATTAGACAGCAGCCTGCAAAGAAGCACTTCTTCGCACTGTGCTGCATGCACAGTAGCCCACAGTGGCAAGTCCTGCTCGTCCAACAGGGCAATTAACAATGTGTGCAAAAGACCTGGACCCTGCAACGCATGCAACCTGCACCACACTCGCATATGTTGCAGCAGCGAGCATGGCGTTAATATCACCGTGTGTGTGTGAACTGTACATGATGCGCTCTCCCCGTGGAAGACCTTCACAGGCACCACTGACAGGGGAAAGCTGAGGTAAGATGACAGCCATAAATCCCACTGTCGCGCTGCACACACACACACACACACAAGGTAACATCACAACGCGTACGGAGGCTGAAGTGCACATTTTATGGCTGAGCAGCGGTGTTATTTTGACCGGTGAGTCCCAATGTCCGCGCTGTTTCTAGAGGATTACCAGCCTAATATTACATAAACACAACCGGAACCCAAATCATATTAGCAAACCCCGTCTGTTTCATCCTCCGCAGCCCCCAAAATAACCCGCTACAACAGCCTACTCACGGTTTCGGGTTGTGACGGAAAGTTAGGGTCTCCGCATACGCTGAGAATCGTCTCCGCCACTTCACTTCAAAACACAAATAGTCTGTTGTCCTCCGTGTCGTCGCTGGCGGCGGGGGAAAACGAAGCCCGTGCTGAGAGCGGTTGTACGGTCGCATGTACTGCAGTGTACACAGTCTGCCGTCGGCCCGCTTCTTCGCCCTCACAGCCTCGGCGCGGTCGGGGGAGGAGACGGCGCATTACAGCCGCCGAGTGGTGTGGTGGAGTCGGTGCAGGTCGGGCAGTTCTCAGGGTTTGTTTTATTTTTATTATTGAATAGATAGATATTCCTTTATTTGTTCCAATGTAACAGCAGCAAAGTGGATAGGGAAAAAACAGTATAAATAAACAGTAAGAGTAGGGAAATAATAAAAACACTATGTACAAGAGAAAAAAACAGTGAGAATCCACAACAACAGATAACACAAATATAGTAGCAGCAGTTGCACATGGGCAATAGATTGCACATGTTTGAATCATACAATTATCTTCAAATAAAACATTACACCAAAAACACATTACAAAACTATATAGTATACACACACATGTCTAACATATGTAACACATATCCTGCTAGTATATTCATATTTATATTTATAAAGTTATTTTTTTATATATCCCTGTACATATGCACATTACTACTGCTTTTTGCACTTCTGGTTGGATGCTTAACTGCATTTCGAAGTCTTAGTACCTGTACTTTGTCCAATGACAATAAAGTTGAATCTAATTTAATCTAAAAAACATATAAAGTTCTACTGTTTACATTGCTTTACTATTCTGCAGTCCATGCAGCCTACTGTTTCAATATAGTGTCTGAATTCTATTTTGAATTGTTTTAGGCTGTTTGTGGTTTCTTTTTAACTTGTGTTTTCTATATAAAAATAAATAAGTCTTTTACAATCAATATCATTCTTATTATAGAAAAATATAATGTCTCTTTTTTTTTGTCTAACCAGTCAGCTTCTTAAACATGTATTGTACACATAACCAAAATAATTTAAAGGTCCAAGAGGATCTATTTGCAGAAATTTAATATAATATGTTTCCATTAGTGTAAAATCACCTGAATATAGGAACTGCGTTTTCGTGTTGTTATCTTAGAATGAACTGTTTTTATCTGCTTTGTTGAATGACCATGTTTCATCTGATGTCATCTAACATAAGGATTACATTTAAACTGCAGATTCACATCAAACATGACGAGACCAGAAGGTATTGCATCAAAAACAACTGTAAATTCTTTAGGAGTAACTGGATTTAATTTTAAATATGTCACCAACAATATGTTAAAGTTGTGTTCATAAATAAATATCCAGGACCATATAACATATCTACATATGGTAGACAGTTTGACAGGAATCTTTAAATTAAGGAGGAATTTAATACAAATTGTTTTTCAAAAATAAATTCTGGAATAATGTAACATAGTTTATCCTTTCCTTGTATATACTATTTTATTCAATTGACCTTGAACATAGAATTAGAAATATCAAAGTCTAATACATGACAACATGTGTTATATAACACTCTCTCAAAAATGGGGTTTCTTTCTCAAAATAGAAAACTCTAGAGTTTTGTGTGTGTGTTTGACTATTGCTTGAGAAACATCCAGAAACATTGCAGTATATACTTTATATAAGTATATACTTATATATAGTATATAAGACTGATGACCCTTCACTTTTTCATAACAATATGTAACAATAAATCTCTCAGTAACCAAATATCAAATTTCGTTTTAATTTTTCCAATCAGTGGATTCAAATTCATGTCCACTCGTCCATTTAGATTTTTGCATATTTTAATGTTACGATATAAGATCTTTTATAGCAATACTGCATAATTCAACCAGGACCGCTGTTGGCCTTGCTGACTCACTGAAGTGTCGACTTACCTTCAGTAAAATGTAAAATTAGAAGGTTTTAGAAAAAAACAAGTAAAGGAAATAAAGAATAAGAGCTGACAGAATGAGGGATTCAAGAACACTAGTTTCCAACTGTTCTGATGACATGTTTTCATTAAAAGCCCAAATTAAATCTTAAATCTGGTCTGTATAAAGGATTTTATGTCATAACATTGAGCGGTGGTGGAATGTAACTTAGTACATCAGTATGGTGAAGTAGTGAGGTAGGCCCTATTTATACTAAAGTCTTTTCTTTTCATGCAACTTTCTACTTCAAATATTGTACTTTTTACATCACTACAGTTGGTTGACAGCTTTGGTTGCTAAGAACTTTACAAATTAAGATTTTTAAAAATACATAATTACAAAACAAGGAAATTATTTTCTTTTCCGGCACAGTATTTGGATTTAAAATCTCTTGAGGCCACTTTCATAGTCATGGATGATTACTAGTACAATAATCTATTTCTTTATTTAGTACAAGCTTAGACTCAAATATGTTGTCATTCTAGTGTGCAGTGGTATAGTGGTGTGGGTATATACTCTTAATGTATGCCCTAAGACTGATGGTTGGATACAATAAGCATTGTGAAGGTATATCTTTGGGCTTTCTGTAATTGTGATGCCATTTCTCACTATTCTCACAAAGTGAATTTTTACAAACTAAACAATCAGTCAATTACAGTTTTTCTCAATTGTTTACACACAAATACTGGTACTTGAGACACAATGACCACAACATGTAACTCATGCACCAACCCCCTGAACCAATTCTGCTAAACTACAAGCACAATTCCTGCTTTGTACT